CCTCGCGTGAGCGATACTTTTACATCGTTTTGGGGTAAACCGATGAGACGGGATAGCAACTGCANCCCCCCAATATAGGGGGGGGGGGGGGTGTTGTGTCAACAAACATCGAGCGACATAAGTAATTCCTAATCACATTTTCGACGATAATGCTCGCTTTCGCTCCGAAATATCAGAGTACAGAGAGTTCAAGCGACAACGCTCCGCGAAATTCGAGTCTATTGTGAAAGCTGCTAACAAAGGGACGTAAATTTTTGTTTGTGTAAAATTATCTTGCAATTTGCAATCATGACAGCTCTTTTTGCATAATATATACGTATTGATAATAATAATTTATTATGAAAATACGTATGTATTTTACGGAAATTTACGATAATACATACAGGAGGAATACGATGATTAAACTAGAAATTAAATTTACCGTCGGTCGAATCGATAGTCGTTTGTTACGATAATTGAGGTCTGGAAATTGGGTTGGAATTTTGCCCGACGACGATGCCGCGCGTAACTTGCTCGATTTCTTTCAAGGCGATCGCTCCATCGAATATTAAGCATCGATTCACGCCACTCGCCGGAACTTCCTGTTTGTCAGAAACGCCGGCGACACGCGGAACTACGTTAAACTTACTACAGCGCGCCGTAATCAGCAGATACGTCGGTGTGCTGCGCGAAATACTTAAATGTTTGCGAACTCGTGTAGCGTAACATTTGCATATCAACGTTAAGCTTATTACGCTCAGAGCAAATCATCAGCTCGTCAAAACCGGGTCTCGAACGAGACTGCACAAGCTCCGAGTCGTCGTTCTCGTTGTTCCTCGATGGAGATATCGGTATAATCTTGAGAGATTACAAGCCACTCACCACCCGCGTAATTCTCCAGGATCTCGATCGTGCGATCAATCCTCGAATACGTGACTCGGTGATTAGTTCCAATTTGCTGCGGTATCGGTGATAGTATTAAGTAATTACTCAACGCGTCGATGCGCATCGATGTGCACGCGCGCTTCGCAGGAGGAATTACAGAGCGCACTGCTTCTTCTAAATTGAACACTTGACATCCTCGTGACGTCCGCGCGCTCACAGAAATTAGAGGAAAAATGTTTAACCGTACAGTGCAGTCAGCGTATTATCGCTGAGAAACAGCCGATAGTCACTAGTGATCATAGTTATAAGCGTAGCAGTGCAAATCAGTAAAATGACGCTGTAAAAGTCTATTAATAGCAGCAACTCCTTTCCATCGGAGAAATCTGTCTGCAGAAAAAATAAAAAAGGATATTGTTTATTATTTCCTTTTCATTATCTTGATTCCCCTTTTAAGGCATTGCCAATGATTTTGCCTGAAATATTCTTAATTATATTTAATTTATATCATATTTGTATGAGTGTGTGTGTATGAAAAACACGTTTATCCTGATGGGACTCGAACTAGAAAGCTCTAGCTTTAGTTCTTCTTGTTATCACACGAACTACGCCAACTACGACATATAGTCGAATATACAATAATATGCACATATATATTCCTGACACGGAACGCGTAACAGCGATTTGCAATGAATCTTCTGCTGACAAGATCAAGTTTCCAGAAGAGTTTCCCATTCAAAATTAGTGGATACTCACTGAGATTCGATTTAGGAAAATAACGATACGAAAACAAGAGTGTAAACTATGATGTCCCCGTTCAAATTCGGAGTCGGGATTCCTGTAAGGTTCGCGTTAAACGATCGTCGTAAGCTCGAGTGAGGTCAAATGCGGGTAATCTCGTATTCCCACAAATTACAGACAAATGACGCCGAAGGTCGCGGCCACGATCGAGGAGCGGAACCGTCTACGGTGCCGAATTTGCATCCCTGCGGTAACAACATCGCACGATACCGCAGAGTCCAGCTTTTCCGATATATAACGGTAGATGCCGAGTCGTGGGAGGTGCAATCTGCGATCCGTATCCCTTTTAGCGGCGGGCATTAACGCGCCGTCAGCCTTCTGATCCTCGTTCCCGGATTGGAGCCGTAAGTGGAATGTCGGCGTAAACCGGAAGCAGTTACTGCCACAAAGACTGTCAACTAATGCCACGACGGTGGCCACTTCGGGCGGCATACCTTCCGCGAAGTTTCGCCGTGGCATTTGCGGCGGCTGCGCTAATGCGCTTAATTGTTACCGCGTGCACAGGTAAAACGGGTATCAGATCTCTTGACTAAGCCGGTAGACTATCGCGTTTGCGTATCGCGGCGGTTGACTCCATGTGGAAAGATACATTAGCACAACGTGGTTGTGCTGACAAAAAATACTTTCGAACGCGTACGCGTGTACTTGCGCGGGTAATTAAAGATTTCTCTCGCGTTGTCTTTCAAGATGAAATACGTTACAGGAAGTAACGCTTCTTTAGGGACGGCTTTCGTTGTATCCTCGAGTTCTTCCTCTTTGCTCCGCTTTGTTCGGGGATCGCTTGAACTTTGAGTTCGAGGCCGGATGAATTATGACGGGGAAAATATTTCGGAAAACTCCGTTTCGCGAACGCTGGTGTTGCTTGGGGCGCGCAAGATTAAAAGGCGTTTTAACGAGGTCATCATCGCGCGGCACACCCAAGTCGCAAACACCTGCGAAGCGTTCCACCTCGCCTTCTGGGCGGGCCATACACAACCATTTGCAGCTGCATGAAAATTGCAAGATACGGCGAAAATTGCTCCGTGCCCTTGCTCCGTGCGCCGTCTCTCCCGCATCTCGGTATTTACGAGTTTGCGACTTGTGCGCCGCGCCGTGAACGAGGATCGAGGACTGCTGAAGCGAGCCCCCTCTGCAGATATCGATGATCGATACGACACCAAGAAAGAGGGATGGGGGAGTGCTAGAGAAAAGAAGAGAGAGAGAGAGAGAGAAAGACACGCTTTTTAACACGCTACCTTCCTCGAAGTATTCAAGCGAAAAAATGCCGTTCTGCGCTTTATGCTAAGATATCTCCGGATGCCAACCGTTAAGGAGAGCTTCCGGGAGCACAACGAGAAAATAAAAACAGTATAAAACGCGGGTAATCGATGAGAAGGAATTTGGTATTCGGAGAATTGCCGGACAAACTTTTTAAGTCGTTTGGCTTTTGCGAGAGCTTGTGATTTCTCGTGTACAGATCGCGAGTGTAGCGTAAGGAAAAAAGACAATTCGCCTCGTTACTCGGAACGAGGTCAAATATTCATCGCGATTGTTGCAGAGAGAAGTGCACCATAATGATACTTTATTCAGTAATCCAATGAGAAACGGAGAATGCGATAGCCAGCGAGCGAATTTCCAACGATCGCGGAAACGTTACAATTTCCAATGACGTTAGCGGTCGGTGCCGCTTATCATAATATCACATTGATTGTTTAAATTTTGTGATGAAATATAATTTGAAAATATAATTTGAAAATTTTCCGCATAATAAATTACGATTTAATTAGGTTTATAATTTTAATTTTTATAAAATTCAGTAATAGAAAAACCCAACAGAATTAAACGATAAAATTAATAATAATTACAATGTCAGGACAGAATGAAACGATAAAACCTGTAACGGCTTGAATATTAATATAAATACCGTTGCCTATGTATTGCCGTTAACGTCAACGTTAGCGATCATGCAGGCAGATTATTGGTAAAGAATGAAAGGTTAAAGGCCTGGGAGCCGTCAACATCGTTAATCGATAATAGCATCATATTAACGTCCCGATAGATAGAATTTTAGCTTGATGTAAAGAAGAAAATCTCCAATAATGCCGGCAGTTGCCTGACAATACCTAAATCGATGTTCCTTTTTTTCTTAATTAATAACGGATACAACAATATCAGAAAATTATCACGTATCTGCGGTATTGTCTCTTCTCCATAAATAATGCTGATCGTGTATTTGAGAAAAATCATTGCCATCATATTCCACACAATATCGGACATTATATTGCGATAGGTGTAAAAGCTTCATTCTCAATTAATGGCACAGAGGTGAATATTAACCGAGGCACGCAGAGTTACGAGCAACGATCGGCAGGATGTACATTAAGCGCGATTGTCAGGCGTGCCGAAATGACAATCCATTGAAAAAGCGTTACGCTCGCCGAGAGCTGAAACGCTTGAAATATTTCCGGGCCGATAAATTTTCTTTCATACGTCGATACCCGGCCATAGGCGGGTTAAATATCGCGAACGACATCGGCTAACTCGAGAGGGGGTGATAACGGCCGCGCGTTTATCCCGCTAACAGCCTTAATAACCATGTAACGCTGGAGCGCGCCACGGCGGCTCGACACAAAAGTCATCGATACGACAATGCTCGCGCTAGCAATAGGAATGCCATCGCGCGCGCGGGGTTACGCCAGCCGTTCTCACAATCAGCCGTCGACGACGCGACGGTGGAACTATGACGGCGCGCACGAGAGGGGTGGCGCGCCGGGGGGTGAGAGTCGGCACGGTTGGGCATCGCAGGAGGGTTGGTGGTGGTAAGAGTTGACGTCGGTGGTCGGGGGCTGATATCTAGCTAAGCGCTGGCGCAGTTGGGTCGCGGTCTCCACCACGGCAGCATTTCGCCCACCGGTCTCTTTACGCACCTATCTCTCCCTCTCGCTCCCTACCCCCTTATCGTTCCCTCTCTTTCTCTCCCTTCGCCCTCCCCCCGCCTCCGCGGCCGGTGCATACACGACACCGGTGCATACACCTTCGCTCAGCCCCCTCCACCCCCGCGCGTGTAGACGAAGGTATTCGCGAGGCGCGGTAGTGTGCGTGCGGTATGATGAATGAACGACATTTTAGAGGGACGGAAGTAGCGCGCGGTCCCACGTAGCCCTTTCACGCGATCGTACGTCACACGCCGGCGGCACACCGGGGATCCTCGCGAAGATGCGCCTCGCGCGGGAGCCGCAGTCGCCCACGTGGAAGTACGGACCAGCTGCGGTGGAAGGATTTAGTGACGCACCAGTTCTCCCTCTGTGATTACGCGGGACCTACGGTCGTTCATTCGTGACAGCTGATAGGGGCGAAAAGGTGCGTCCGCTGTTCGTGAGGGCTGTTCTATTTCGCGAGATGTTCCCTTTTGGTAACGAACGACGCAGCGTACGGCGGTGCGACGAGGAAGTGCGCCGAGCGATCTCGAAGATTAGACGCGAACACGCGGCCGCCTGTCAACTCGACGAACTCGTGGGGCTGCGCGTTAAATTGGGATTTCTTATTAATCGCGAGTGCGCTCGGTGTCGCGCCGGGTGCACGTGTGAAGAATTCACGCGCAGCCAGGACGACGGGAATGACGGACCGTAAGAGCAGCGGACACGTGGGTCGCTTCGGCGTGCTCGATGTCTCGTGAATATTTTGTGACGACTGCTGTGGTGTGCGAACCACTGTTCTGAAACCTGGTCTGTTACTGTGTTTCGCGGCGTTCTCAGGTAACTTGATGATCTCTCCATGAGAATATTTCCCTCCGTTTCTCTCCCTCGCGCGCGTTATTTTTTACATAATTTTTTCCTTATTAATACATTAGTAAATATATACATTGCTGTTGGCTGCGTGTGATTTTTAGAAATATTTTCACGAAATATTAGAACTGTTCGAACTGAATCTTTGATTTTCGATTATTCGTTCGTACAGCACGAACAGGTAGAAATAATTTTAGTACGTTAAGGCAACGTTACTATTGCGGGTGTTAACAGAACCGTCTTGTCGCGTCGACCTTTCAACATCCTCTCGCCGACAGCTCGATGGGGTAGAGTTGTAGATTAAGCTATTTATTCAGCCTCATTGGCGCACGATTGGTTTATAGCGGCAACTACCCCGCGCGGATGCGGACGCACTCACTGAAATCCAATGACAAGCGAAATTAATATCCCCGGCCGTGTTGTGTGCATACCGAATTAATTCTCTGGCCGATTGTATGATTTGTCGGGGCCGGGGGTAACACCCTGCCGAATAACGGCGCGCGCGAATACAATCGGAATCAAATCACGTTCGTTTTCGATCGAGTGTTCCCCGCCGCCTCACTTAATGTTAACTTAAACGGGAGGGTCGCGGCATATGTCGCGCGTTTCGCGCACGGTCGCCGTTGATCCCGCTGCTCTCGCGACAGCAAATAACGCACACTTTTCACAGGAGCACGCGCTACGTGCTTTAATACGCTCGCCTCTCGTTTTTGCCGCGACGCTTGAAATCGTAATCGCGCCGGAAGTAATTACTTTCCCGAGTAATTGCGCGCGCTCGCGTATAACGCTTCGTTGCATAATTCGGCGAGGTATTAGGTACATCGTTGCATATAATATGAGATGTTAACGTGATTGCGGGGAAGATCATTTTCTCGCGTTGGCTTTCACCGTCCACGCCACGCTCTCCCGAATAACGATCGTTTTTACGCGCGATTTAACACGGTCGTGTGAAAACACGAGATACCCGGCGCTCTTGTCCTTAATTGTAGGATGAAGTTGTCTCGCCGTTATCGACGTTTCGGCGAAAATTCGCGACACGGAGACCCTTCGATCTCGATTCGCAGGCGACGTTGTCGTTGCTCTGCTTACAAAGTAAACAACTTGTCCCTCTCGCGCGAGATGTCGCCGATGACTGATAGAAATAATACGAACGAGTGACAAGTGTTGGAACTGTCAGTGAGAAAGTGAATTTCTTTTCATCGTCAAGCAGGAAGATACGTCACCCCGGTTGGACTATTGCGACTTCGAAGAGGCGGTCGACGCGAAATGTACCGGAAACGATGGACCGTAAAAGCATTGGGAATGGATTTGCGGTATAGCGGTAATGGGGCCGGTCGGCGCAAACCCTTCAAAATGATCAGCATCTTCTTCCTCGCTATGCTGCTGCACGGTGAGTAAGTCTCGAATTCGATCTCAGATCATTGCGATTATTGCGGCCTGTGTGCTGATGAATTAAAAAACCGGGTATTAATCAAGCTATCGTGAAATCAGTCATTAATCTATACGCCGATAATAGGATTCCGTCGGCATTAGCTAACGCGACGATATCTCGCCGCGTGGTCGCAAATGATGTTTACTTGCAGCGTGATTCGTACACCGAGATTACTTTTTAATAAGCTGAAGGGAAACGTGCGACATATCCCCGGCTCGGTGACTGTGTTAATCAAAGCCGGTAATCTGTTCGACGTAACGTGACACGGGCGTATTTTCTCTCTCTCTCTCTCTCTCTCTCTCTCTCTCTCTCTCGTAATTTCTATAAAAATGCGGTTCATCAAATCGCACGCGCGCATCGTACGAATTTCGGGAAGAAAAAGAGGAAAACGGGTGACACGCTCGTCGAAGAGCGAAGGTGCAGGGGTACACCGTGGACTGACAGGCGACTGTCCTACCGGGAAAATGGATGCTAGGAACAACAATGACCCGGCGAATTCGCAAATGTTGTTGCGGCGGGTTAACAAAGGGAGGGGAAGTAGAGGATGCGTACATCGTTGTAAAAAAGTGTACATTCGACCGGCACGTTCGATGGAGTAGCTTTTTACGGCGCGGAGCAGCGTAGCGCGCGAGCGAGCTAGCGAATCCGTCCGGCCGGCCATTATCGGAATTGCTACGAGCATATTTTTCCATTTGATAAACATTGCCGGGCAAACACGGCGGACGTTGTTGCAGCGTGCAGCGCTGCATAACATTCGATAACATTCGAAGAAGTTTTTACGCGTTAAGGCGATGCAGATCGCTTCGAGACGCGTGAATACGCGTTCTATTCGCGGGATCCGCAAATTCCCCGCTCGACGGCTCTCTGTTTATTCAACGATGCGATGTGATTTGCAGTAATAACAGGATGGATACCTTCATTGCGGCTCTCGGGTCGTCTTTTAACGCAAATTCGGCTCACGCAAATTCGATTACTATAACCGGATAGAACCGGCGGTTAGTTATTAATTGGATACAGCCCTCAATATTTATTGCGCGTGAACACGCTATTAATGTATTCCATTATTACCGGTATATCGATGCGCTATGTGTTACTATTAATTAGTATATATTCGCCGCATCAAACGTTGCGCGAACGTTACCAGAAATATGACGCAATTTACAAATCGGGCGACCTCGCGCGCGCGCGCGGCGACTTTATGAATCGATGCTGATCGCCGGCGTTGCTGCGAAAACCAACCGGGGATCTCTTCGCTGCAGTCAGCCTGCAGGTGCAAGACGCGTTATTCACGGGCCGTAAACGCAGGCGACGTAATATCGCCGAGGACATCTCGGTTGTCGAGGACAACCTGTTCGAATAGGAGGACGCCTTTACAACCGCTCTCCGGGCTGACTCCCGTCAGACCGCTGCTCGCGTCAGCGCGGTTCCTCTTGAGCCCCGTAAAATCTCGCGCAACTGATTTTACTTGCCGCGCAAGAAGCATCGTTTGCGAGCGAGCTGCTTCTATTAAAATGTTCAAGTGGATCCCGGGGAGACCCTTATAAGTCGCGAGTCGGGCGTTAAATTCGTTTCGATCGCTCCGATCGCTTCGTCCGCCCACGGACCTTTTTATTATCTCGAAATATCGCTCGCCTCTTAGCGGACTATTGTCTGGCTGCGAGCCACGTGAGAAGAAATTTGGGCGAACGGATGGATCCACTTATCTTCGTGTCGATGCGAAACACACGCGGAAATACGTTAATGCATCATCTTGATCTCGCGTATACGAAATTCCACGCTCCCTCTTCCCGTTGAAATATACGAATATAATGAATACGTATATACGAATAAGAAATATACGAATATAATGAATACGTATTGCGATGTCGATTTCGTAGGCGTGAAAAGTAGCGCGATGGAAACGGCTGTGAAATCGTTTTACCGGTCCTTCGGTGCGTATGCGCGCGTAACATGCGTGCGCGCCATCGGCAGGCGTGTACAGCCTCCAGTACATAAAAGGGCAGTAACTTTTTATTAAATAATACTCCGCGGCGCGTAGTGAATCCATCACTCCTCTATACGCCGTGATGCCCACTTCCGCCGATGTTCTTGCGTTTTATTCGCGTTTATGTGCTTCATCATCCGCCATCTACCGCGGCGTCATACTTCACGTAGTCTGACACGCGCGCCCGCCCCGCAAATATGACGTGAAGGCGCGACAGTGCAACGACGTTCCTTATACGCATATCCTTATCCCATGCAAATGGAGCCGACGTTTTACGGGAAGCCAAAGCTGGACCGAAGTGCTCGGGCAGGGGTGATAAATCCGGAAGCCTGATAAGATGAGGATAATAAAACTGCGCCGAGAAAGCCGAGCTCTCTTAGCTCGCATTTTGCTCCTGAAAGGAGTACATATGTCACCGGCGCATTCTCTACCCCGCGTGTTTTACAAACCCGGCTTGCTCCGATGTAGCAAAATTCGTTCGCGCGTCGTATACGACACGTAATCAGCTCGGATTCACGCACTCTCGAGAAACGAAATGCAGTTGCACGCGGTAATAATGTCGGGAAAAGTCCCCAGCGGGATGTAAGCGATGCCACGAAAGCGGATATGCGTGTCATCAAGTGGCTCAGTCGACGTATATTGATTACTTGATACGCTTTGCGTCTGCAATTTTCAATCGGCTGAATGATCGCGACTGAGTGACTGCAGTTACCGCATATATCCATTAGGAGATTGGAGATCGTAGGTATTCCACATCGTGGTACGATCGCATGCGGCTTGATATGGGGAGAAAAAAAGAGTATTCAGCGGATCTCCGAGGTCGGCGTACACGCGAGCATAATATTCGCGCGCGCGCGCACACATACAACAGGGCAATAATCTCTTCTACATTGAATGGCGATTTTTCGACCGCGCGCGGTGATTTTCGAAATCGTCCTCGAAATATCCCTCTGCCATTTCCGAATCCATAAATCGATTGCCGACGTATTCGCACGCGATAAAGTCTCCCTTGCGGCTGGAGTAAATCGCGTTTCCGCGACTGCCCGGTAGATTCGCGCCGTCGATCGTGTTATCGCCGCCGTCGAAGTTAATTACGATTTGCGGCTCCTTCCGAGCGGCTAAGTCGGTCACCGCTTAATACGATTAACCATAATTTATACATGGGGCTGCGGCTAAATATGCAGGACGTAAATTGTAAAACTCGATACCTCACGACCCTCACATTTACTCGAGATTGATGTTTTATTCAAACGACGCCGCTTAAGATCGAAAGCCGCTTCGCCTCGACGACGCGGCCCGTAATTTCGTATTCGACTCGAATATTTGTCGTGGGATTAAGTTTAGCTAACGACGTGGTATTTCCGTCGCTTGAGGATAAAACGCATCGATCGATATCACGAACGCGGCATTCTCTTTGACACGAGATTAGAAACGTCGTGCGGTACGTGCAACGTGTATAGCACGGACTCGAACTGAGAGGTCCCGTTCAAGATGCAACGTATCGCGTCTAACCGGTTTCGAATTGCGTGTACATAAGTATTCGGCTATAACATTATCCGTAATGGCACTGGGAAATGGGTCGCTTGATAAGCATGGATGACGCTTTAGAAACGCCGATAATACGGGAGAAAATAAAGGAAAGCGGACCGATTCACGAGTTCGCAGAAATTCAGTCGGACAGATAAATCAGGGTTCCCTTTATGGAGACATCTACATCGGATACGAGTAATAAAGCAATAAAAAAATAATCTCCGAGCTATCTCCGAGCAAGTATCTATCAAGGGGGAAACTTCTCGAAACATCTGCGCGCTAATATCCTGTCTGTGAAGATAAGTCGACGTTTTATCCCTCGATTCAATCGCACGTCCTTTCACGAGAACAAGCGCTTAACTTTGTATTGTTTAGTCGCTCCCAAGTCAATATTGAACTAACGATATATCGGAAAGATAATTTCGAGTTTTCGAGCTGCTAGCGTAAAATCTCAGTTTCGAGAGTATAACGTCGACACTTGAGCGATCCGGATTTGGCGGCTAATTAAAGTACACGTAATAATTTCCCGTTTTATGCACGAGACGAAGCATGAATTCATTATGAATGCATTATAATTACCTAAAGATAATATTAAGCGGTGTCTGCAATAAGTGTAGCAAGCATTAAGAAATTTACCAGTTACAATCGGTTATTCTTTTCACATTCGACTGTGATTGGTTAATTTCTCACGGCTTAAAGCTTACTACATGTATTTTGCAAGTAAAAACTAAACTATTTTTGATATTTTCACAACCAAAATATTTTTCCCGTAAAAAACATCTATTTTCGATGCTTCAAAATATTCTTTTAAATCTGACTTCCAAATCTCTGCAATGGTCCGAAAATATATATTTTTCGAATACGCAACAAATCATATTTTTTTCTGTTAAAACTATTTTACAACTTCATCGTCTTACAGTTAAAAGTCAAAATAATAAAAAAATTCATAAATTACGATTTTTTAAGTAAAACACTATTATTAACAACACCGCTGCCTAAATTCGAATTTTTTCAATAACTTAAAACTTAATTATCTGTGAACGAATAATGTAACATTAAAATAGAAGAGTTGTACTCTATCTTAGAACTTGGTCATCTCTTCTTTCACCATTTTTTAGACATGAAATTAGAAAAAAATCGTTTATGGTCAGTACGATCCTGTTTGCGGTGTGAATTACATTTCGGAAGTGTACGAAAGATTAACATTAAATTGCATTCGCAGGCGACTATGCATTAATAATCCCCCACGGTTCACAAAAGCTCGGATCATTCTCGGATCCATCAATATAGCCGATCCTAGAAGAGGATCGTTAGCTATAACGGATTATCGGACGTCATCGTTCTTCGTCGTAAAAAGGCCGAATCTCCGTTCGTTCATCGACCCGCGCCACGACCGCGCTCGTTCGGTGCGCCTTTTTGCTTCTCCCGAAATCTCGATCCGATC